CTCAGACTCATGAGGCCCACTTCATCAGGTCGTTCGTCGCGGGCCTGTCGGTGCCTGGCCTGGCGGCCGCCATCCGGGCTCTTTCGCCCGAGGACGCCTCGAACCTGCGGGCGGCCATGGTCGAGGCCGATGCCACACCCGACCAGGACACTGCCACTGGCCAAGGGCCGCCAACTTTGTCCACGTCGGCGTCTTCGGCATCCTTGGCGTCGGGGGCGGACCAGCCCACGACGGATCCTGGCCCGTCGGCGCCGGAGGCGCGCGCCTTTTGGGAAGGGCTTGACCCGGCTCCTACCAGGACCCCGCCTCCGCTGGTCGCCGACCCGCCGCTCCCAGAGGCGGGATGGGATGCACTCACGTCCTACCTGGCCGAGTTCGACGCCGCCGAAGGGGCGATTGCGGCCTCATCGGCTTTGCCCATCCGGGGCGGCGGCAAAGCCCAAGACGGTGGCTAAGGCCCCTCCGCCACCGTTCCTGGAGCCGGACGCTACTTCGCCGCCGGCGCCTATGTCGAGCTCGCCGGCAAAGCCGCCGCCGGTGCCCTTCCCGCCGAGACCGGCGGCATTCAAAAGCACCGGGCCGCTAAACATGGCGGCGCAACCACCGCCGGCGTTCGAGGCGGCCAGCAGCTCTACCGCCAGGGCCGTCTTGAAGGCACCGCCGGTGCTGGAGCCGGAGGCGCCGAGCGCATCTACGACGCCTCCTTCGTCGACGGCGTCTACCCTTGACCCCAGGCCGCCCGCGGCCGTGCCTAAGAAGGCCGCCCCGCCCGAGCTCCAGGACGTGGATCCACAAGAGTTCGCCGAGCAGCGCGCCATGGGCCCCCCGCCAGCCCAGCGGCCGGCAGCGGCCTCCGGCCAGGCCACACAGGCGGATCGGGCGTCTGGGCCCCCGCCAGAGAAGGCCCATCCAGCCCCTCGCCGGGTCCAGGTGGTGGAGGATACCCACCCCCGCCCTGTGCCGGGCCGCCCTACGCCGGCCACAACCATCGACTACCTTAACGCCGAGGCGGCGGCTCAGGGGGCGGCTGCTTCTTCCTCGGCGGTGCCGCCTCCGCCGAAGGCGTCCTTTCCTCCGCTAGAGATGGCCGGCCAAGGGCGCCACGGCTTCGGCAGCCGCAACAGGGAGCATCGGACTCACAGACGGGGCTCGTCAGACCCTCGCCAGGCGGCCTGGGACGAGTTCAGGTTCCCACTGCACGAGCCGGGCGCCTCTATGGCGGCGACGCCCTTGCCGATGACTCTTCGCGGCTGGGCGGCAAACTCGTGGGAGTCGGCGCTCGCCCTGGAGCAGCAGATCGGCTCGGGGGCGGTCTCGCCACAGCCCCAGACCGTCACCCAGGGCGTGGTCCTCCGCGCCTTGCCTCGGGACGTGAGAGGAGGCCGCCTTTCACGCCGCTCGGACGGTCATAACCTCGCCTGGGTTGGCTGGTGCTTCGTGGGCTGCCCGGGCCCCAGGTCGGGGCATCTTGCCCGCTGTCCACACCGCGCCCGGTGCCTGCGTGGGCGGGCGTCCACACGAGAGCACCACGAATGTGACGCCTGCCGGCCCGAGCGCCCCGGCCTACGGTTCGAGGACTAGCCCGCCTTTTACAAGTTCGCCCGTTGCGCCACTCGCCCTTTTGCGGGCTTAGATCCTGACGCCGGGCGCCTGTTTTTGAAAAAGCGTGGTCAGTTTGCGCCGTCTTGCCTGTGCTGTGCCCCCCCCTACCCTTCCCTAAGCTGGGGTTGGTTGATCGGGGTCGACCGGCTCGAGGGCTCAAGCACAATGGCCTCCGAGCCGAGACGGGGCTCTTTCGCCGAGCTGGTCGCACAGGCCACCCGCGCCGGGCAGGCCGATCACCTGCCGCTCCTGGCTCGCGCCGGGGTGCGCAATCTCCGAGGCCTGGTGGGCTGCCACGACAGCCTGGTGGAAGCGGGCCTTCCGCCGGAGGTCTCGAGGCCATCCTGGCCGCTCCGAAAATGCAGGGGGCGGTGTCGACTCTCGGAAGTCCCGACAGGCCAGACCTGCCGGCCAGGCACGAGCGTCCCTGGCCGCCGCGGTCGAGGCGGTCCGCCCGGCCAACCTCAAGAGGGCTATCGCCGAGCTCCGGGGCGACATGCTGGCCAAGACGACTCGGGGGCCATACGAGTCACGCCTCAAGACCTGGAACAGGCTCGCCTATGAGGGCGAGGTGGCGCCATGGCCTATCTCGGCGCACGTCCTCGAGGTCATCGGGGCGGGCTTCAAGAAGGGCGCCTACCGCAGCGCCAAGGAATATTTCCTCGCCGCCTTCAGGCACCAGGAGAACGAGCTTCGCATCGCCGTCGACCCGCTCCTGCGCCGCGGTCCGTGGTGCCTGAAGGAGGCCTTCCCCGTGCTC